TTTCTGAAGTAGATTACTCCGTTCTCCTTGATCAGAGAAGCTGTGAGAAATGTTTCCTTGGATACCTTTGACTCTAAGTATGAGAAAACCTGATCAAGTGAGGCTAAGACAACAAAGACTTGTAATCACCTCAGAAAACAAGAAACCCCAGAGATGATGGTGTCAGTACCTCAGTGGCACCATGCTAACCTCCTCACAGACATTAGCCAGGGGGGCACAGCTCCAGGCATCAGGACTTCACATGGTAGGATGAAGGCTTGAGTGAAATGGGGGCTTCTCCTCCACATGTCTCTAATCAGAGAGGAAAATATTTCTCAGAAAACCCTTTGCCAATTCCCGTCAGATCCCACTGGCAATAGTGAGTCAGATTCCCATGCTTTGGGGGAGTATAGCACACTGGTAGAGTGCTTGTCTAACTTGTGTGAGGCCAGGTTCTAATCCCCAGCACCAACAACAATCACATGTCTTGGCTGCTAGGAGTCTAAGAGAATGAAACACTTGCAAACTGGGTGAGAGAAGGGAGCTCTGTTCATGGGATTGAGAGAGAGAGAGAGAGAGAGAGAGAGAGAGAGAGAGAGAGAGAGAGAGAGAGAGAGAGAGAGACTGTGAGGTAGGCAACCAAGGGTGGTTACATCTTTATCAAGATTCAGGATGAGGGGTGTCACTGACTGTAATAGTTTGAGGATGACTTGGTTGTAATAGCATTCTTTGTTCCTACACTAAGTGACCTCAGACTAGGATTTTCCCCTCCTAATTGCTTTCATTTGTTATGTATTATACTGTACGTTTGCCCAAGCCAGACTGCTAATCATCAATATCTGCTGCCAAAGCGCTTTGATATTATCTTGTTGCGATTATGACGCTGTGTTTTATTTCTGAGGATGAAAAATCTTATAACCAAAGTTGTTAGAACTATGCCTAAAATATTGAGAGTCAATCAGGCTGTCCTACCTGCATATAGGGTGCATGGGGTAGTTTCTTTTGGCTGTCCTAGGGCCATTTTTCCATGGTTGGTATATTTGAAGAAAATAGAGCTTCCTATAGAGCTTTGTATCTGAGAATCTGCATCCTGGAGTCTTCTTATGGTGATATGAGCATTTGGGGACAGATAAGCCAGGCTCCTGAGGAAGGCCAGCTCAGCCACATACTGCACCTTACAGTGGTGCAGCCAGAGAGAGGCAGCATGCTTTATCTGCATTCAGATTCCTTTCATGCTACCATTAACTCCATGGCCTTGACCACTAGGACCCATCATGTAGCAACTGTCCAGAATATAGCTTCATCATTCCTATCTTCTCTCGGGAGGCCAAAGCCCTGTGGACTAGGCCCTCTTGGGAATGACCCAGTTTGTACAGAATAGAAGTGTTTGCTGGGGCTTGTTTGAACAAGTTCTTAAAGAAAGAACCTTAAGAGCTATTCAAATCTACTGAGCCAGTGAAGACCAGCCCTTCTGTTCACAGAAAGCTGACGAAAACTCACAGGAAAAAGGAACTAGGGAGAGTTGTCAAAATAATACTGACAGTAAGTAGTAGCGAATGCTATTGCTCTGGGCTTCAGGCGTGTGCCAGTCACTTCCAGGAAAGCAAATAGGTAAAGTGTTCTGTTTGCTACAGCCCAAATACGATACCAAATTGCTTAGATCTACCAAGTTCCTTCAGAACAAGATAGCTGTTTGAAGACCTAACGTAATTATTTTTCATCAGTTAACCTTTAAGTAAAAATTAAGTGACAGAAACATTTGGAGATAAGGAAAACAAGTTTTTGTTTTGCTCACTTCTGACTAATTTGTACCACTCAGATCCTTTAAGAGAAATGCAAAGTGTCTCTGAAATATTTTAGTTATTACATCATTTTATGCATAAAGTAGTTTTTAAAGCAGCCACCCTTTTAACTACTGACTGTTTTGAATGGGATATAACTTACTTGAGCAAGGTATCTATAGCTTTCAATGTTTATGTTCTCATTACCCTATAGACTAACTTTTTTATCTCTGAAATCCTTTGACAGTTCCTGTTCATCTAGTAATCCAGTTGCTGAATACACACAGGAAGGTTTCAGATTGAACACTGGCTACAACGACTCACTGTTAGACTAATCTTCATAGAGAAAGAATCATGTAATAAATGCTTTGGGGGGCTCATGGTATACATCAATATGTAGCTTGCTGGTATTTAAATAAAAACAAAAATCAGGCCTTGCATGAGTGAATAGACATTTATGGTTTTATTGTGTCTGCTGCTAAAGGGCATCTGAGTTAAAGAAGATAGTTCGAAACTAGGTGGAAAATATTTCTCAACATATGAAAATACTAATAGAAGGCATTCCAGCGAGATGCAAAGGTGCATGCCTGGAGTCCCAGATACTCCAGAGTCTGAGGACAAAGGATGGCATAAGCCCAGGAGTTTGGCACAAGCCAAAGCACTATACCAGTCCCGGAAAAGTTTCTCTTTGAGGGGAACAAGGAGAATGACTCAGTCTGTAAAGTACTTGCAAGAAGACTGAGTTTGAACCATATAAAAAGTTGAGCATGGTGGCATGTGCTTATAATTCCAGCACTGGGGAAGCAGAGACATGAGGATCCTCAGCCCACTGGCCAGCTAGTCCAGTCTAATTGGGTAGTTCTACGACACTTGAGAGACCTTTATCAAAAGGGATTGATGGTGCTCTTACGGATGACACCTGAAGTTGTTCTTTAACCTCCACAAGCACTGACGGACACAGAGAGAGAGAGAGAGAGACAGAGAGACAGAGAGACAGACAGAGACAGAGACAGAGAGACAGAGACACTTACACATGCAGGTGCACACTAAAAATTTCTTTGTTTTTAGAAAAATGCATTAATAAAAAATGAGTAGCTTGAAAGTCACATAGCCTGTAGTAGTATCTCCACTGCTTTTGATACTGAGTGATGGCCATTTTTAAATGGTTGCACTGAATTCTGTTACTTGAAATTATTATTTTTGTAGGTAAGCTGGCATATTAAATATTTTCCTATTGTTAATGATTGCTTTGGAGGTTAGTCTGAATGTTGTTTTCTATTTGAAAACTCGAATGTAATACAGCAATTGCAATTGAAATCAAAGGAAAGTATACATGAACAGACATTTGTTTCTAAAAACTTAATCAGAGGAAATTAAATGAGTATCAGAAAGGATATGAAAAGGTTAGAAAGCAGTATTTGTTCATAGTAACTGAAGATGTTACAGACCAAGCTTTGTGATATGAAAGAACCAAATGGCTTTTCTGTGTTGAGTTATTTGTCATTTGGGTTGATCTTTTCATATTTTCATTGTTTTATGTGTTATAAAATCTGCTTTGGCAAAAATAGACATGTATGGAGACTGTCTTATTATGACACAGAGAAATGTGACTAAAAAGTGGACATTCTCAGTCTTGCCCCTTTTCTTTGGTCATGACGTGAGTCACCAGTTGAAACTCCCTGTGCCTCTGAGTCAGGGCACCATCAGAGTCTAGTGCACTCACAAGTCTGAGAGGCCCTACCAATGGCAAGGTTTTTGTTTGGGAGTATTTGTTGTGGCTGCTGTTCTTGGGTTTTGGTTTTTTGTTGTTTTGTTTTGTTTTTTTGTTTGTTTTACCATGAACCTAATTTTTCCTTCGAGAAGTCACATATGGGGAAAGGACTTGACCAGGTTCAGCATTACCCACATGGAGGGAGTGGCCGGTTCCACACTACCCAGTGCATAGTCCTTTAATATATGTATTTCATACAGCTGAAGTTTTCATCCCTTTCCATTCTTTACAGTGGAGGCTTGGGCTTACTAAACTGTAATTGCAATACAGTTCTAAGTAGTTTGTGTGAGTTTTTCTTCATCGAAGGGCAGGTGGGGGCGTGTCATACAGTAGGAGCCAAAGATTTGCCTCCTGCTGCTGCCTGTCTATGAGAAGGTTGATAAACTCATGCATATCCTACTTCACTCACTTGTTGAGTGCATGTTTTTTAAAAACAATGTCACCTTCATGGAGTTTTAAGGAACAAAGTATCTAAAACTTACTCAGCCGAGCTAGAAAATTCTGTCCATGTTGTGATCGCATGTGTGAATGTGCCTCTTCTTGGTCCTAGAAATGGTAACATTTATACAAATAGCTGTCTACCTCAAAGAATGTTGAACAGTCTGTTTCTGGAGAGGACTTGCCTCCACTAAAACTAACAACTGATTTTACTTTTAAAAACTGACTTACCCTGGATATGAAATGATAAAACACATACTACACATTAGCAGGGAGGCTTAGACAGCCCTGCTGTACCAGCAGCATAGTCTGTGTTCATATTTGTCCTTGTTATGGACCATTAAGGAGCTCCCTCTGATTCAGGAGATATAAATATATGTGGTAACATGTGGGAAAAATGGAAAGTGCTGAGTATGGAGATTCACTGCTTGATTGGGAGCAGAATGATAATTTTATTTTTCTGGTAGTCTAGTTGGCGCATCCTATAAAGTAGAGATTACTGAAGGCCCTTTTTGTCCTTTTTCCAAGTTTGCTCTTAAATACCACCTTCCATCCTGCCCTCCCCCATCAAATTACAGATGAAGAAGGCACTGTCCCACCCTTGAAGAGCTTATGACATAATCAAAATTTAACATAGCTATGTGGCTGGCCCTGCAATGGCTGATGGGCAAGGCCAGGGCCCAGGATGTCAGGCAGTGTGGGTACCATCCTGGTTATGACTCTTCCACATGCATTCTGTGGTGGTCTTTGACACTTTCATAGCACGCTTCAGGGTGGTAACACTGGACTTCACGGGTGATCTGCCTCTCGCTAGATTTTACACTCCTGAAGACAGGGACAATACCCTAGATTCCTTGGTCCCTCGCCCTCACTCCACAGCTTTCACCTAAACCTCAAGCAGTATTTTTGTTTCCAGCCTTCGTGTACCCAACATTCTGATTTAGCCAAATGTGTATATTAATTTTTAATTGTTTGAGTTAACTTCTTAACTATTCAACCCTAACGTTCTTTTCCCTTTTCTCCATTTACAGTTGACCTGCCCCTGTTTTTCCCTCGGGATCAGCCAACTCTTACCTTTCAGTCCGTCTACCATTTTACCAACAGTGGACAACTTTACTCCCAAGCACAAAAAAATTACCCATACAGCCCCAGATGGGATGGAAATGAAATGGCCAAGAGAGCGAAGTAAGTGGACCCAATGTTACTTCTTCAGAGAAGATCAATGTGTATATCCAGTCCAGGGGTCAACTAGCCACTGCTCACTAGGCTAACTTCTGCCCTGGGCTTATTTTTTAAAGTGTTATTAAAACACAGCAACCCCCACTTCTTCACTTATCCATGGCTGCCTTCATGCTACAATGGCAGAGTTAGTAGTAACAATAGAGAATACTGGAAGTCAGAATTTTCTCCAGTTTACACTTATGTGACCTCCTCACAGGGAAGTTGACCTGGGTCTGATATCCCCTGATCCTGTTTCTGTTGATCTCTAGGACTGGCCATGAGTGGCCTTTTTTTTTTTTTTTTTTTTTTTTTTGGTAAATGGATTGTTGGACATATAAGGACTTCACCTTTCTATTCGGATTAGAAAAATACTAAATAGCACTTGAGTTGTAGATAAATAATGTCAATAATAAAAAAAATGTTGGCAGCTCCTTGTATATATTTAAAATGGTAGATTTCAAATGTTGGTAACCAGAGTTCTTATTGAGTAGTTAGAATATGGATTTGGTAGCTACTTTTTTGTGGGAGGCTGCATCTCTTGAATGATGTTATGTTTCTTTTGTATGTTGGGTATGTCTTGGTTATGCCTTAGGTCTATCTGCTAACAGATTGGGGTGCTGTGAAAGCAGTGGCTCAATGGAGGTTGACGTTAGCTGAGCTTCATAGTTGAGTATGGATAGCTATCACTTCAGTCATAAGGTTCAGGTTGATACAGAAACATGCTGGTTGCTTTTTGTCAATAAGACTTCATTGTCTAGAACAGTAGTCTGTAGACCCTTGCTTCCTAGACTGGAGGAGCAGTGGATTGAAATGGTAGTTTCCAAAAGTAAATTATGATGTGACATGTGGTTACTACTTTACCACTCTGAGCAGCCATGTGCACACACCTATGACCCTAGATGAAGGATGTGCAGAGCCAAAGAACCATAGAAATGAAAACTGTCTAGTAAGCATCTTCTTCATTTACTCATCCAGTATTTATTTCATGTCTACCATGATCCAGGCACTGTGTGCCATGCTGACGGTGGCATGATAAACCAACTGGAAACTATCCATGACCTCCTGTAGCCTCCTGTAGCAAGGAGATGAATCATACCAAATTTCTTGACAGTTTTAAAGTACATACTAACAGAAGGTACTAGGCCTTCCAGGCCTAGAAATTTGTTCAGTATTAAGACTCCTTGTTCTTGCCTCCCATTTCCTGATAGACATCCCTTCCCAGGGGGAGCCTCTTATCATCTCCCACTGTCTCTATCGTACAAAACCTTCATGGTAGGTAGACTTGGGTTCTACAATAGAGTGCCCTTCTCCACCACCCAAAATTCCTATGTGTAACCCAGAGTTGTCATCTGAAACTTGTGTGCCTTTCTCCATGTATTTTCCCTTTATATCCAGTATACTGAAGTCTAAAGTTCTAGTTAAGGAATAAACAAACGTATGCAAATATAACTAGTAACAACTATTAAGACCTATGTTGAAATCCCATGAAACAAAGCAAATATAAAGCAAGGTTTCTGTTTGAAGTCTTCAGTTGTTTAGTTGTCTGATCTTTCCCTGTGTATACATAGGATCTGTCCTTAGAAGATGGGCCATTATTTGTGGTATGAGCTGCAGAGTCTGAACCAGACATGTCTTTGTGGTTTCCATGGCAAAACTGTCTTGGTGTACGTGTGTGTACTTCTTAAGCAGGCATTTTAGCATGTATGAACTGAGTCTTTACGGAGCTGTAGACCATGAGCCTGTTATTTCAGTGTAAGAATAGTGTAAGTGAAGCCTGCTTGTCTTCACAGATTGGTTCAGACTTTCAAGACACATTTGCTTTATGGTAACACCAGTCTAAAGGAAACATCTGAAATCGTGTTAAAGAAATCTGCCTTCTACTTCAGTGAAAATGAATCCATTTTAGATGCAATAAGAGAGGCAGCCAGCAGCTCATGCTAGCTAGAAGAAATCATTTAAAGACCCCGTTCTGTAACTGAACTGAGAAATTGCACAGGGCTGTGTCAAAGGCTAAGTAATAGGTAAGCATAAGCAAGAATTGTCCTATGCTGCTGTCTGAAAACTGGTGGGGAAGCATGGAGGAAAATGTCAAACAAAAAGAAAGGTCGTCTGAAGCATTCCTTGCATGCCCCGTTTCTGTATCCTGTGAAGATACTGTACACAGTATGTAAAAGGCTATAATTCACTGGGGAGCTCTGCACCACGACATAAACACTCTCAGGGTTTAGAACAGCCCCAGAGCCCTTTGAGTGAAATCAGCTGTTTATACTGCTGGTTAAGAGCAGAGTTCTAAGCATGTGTGTTAAAGAAGGATGGATACTTCCTGGCACTGAGAAGCCAGGGCTTTTCCTACCCCAGTGCTGCTTGCTGATGTCAGTGCAGCCAGTTCTGCCCTTTACAAGTACAATACCCCAGAGTGAGTAGGCACAGGCTCTGGGGTTAATCATGCCCCGGTTCAGACCACAGAGTTTAATCCTATAAGCTCTCTGTAGCCTTAGGCAGACTGCATAATCTCTCTGAACTTCATCTTTTAAGACAGGGTTGTACTCCTTGCTGCTAAATGGGCTTGCTAGGAAGGGGCAGTCAGTGAGGTGACATATCGAACAATGGAAGTTTCCCTTCTGCTCCATCTCTCAGTGCTCTGAGCTCTGATCCCCTTATCCTCTAGTCTTCTTCCATACGGGTTTCCTCATATACTCTAAACTCTCAGGCAGCCCTCTGCCACCTTCTTCCCAGGCCTGTACTCTGGTCACATGTTTCTCTAGAATCTCTTTTATGCTGTTTTTAGTTTTCACATCTTTATATATGTCTGTTCCCTTAACCAAATGGTGAGATCTTTAAAGGCAAAAGCTTGCCGTAATTATCTTTTTATTGTAGTATAATTTACAATGCTGTGGACAGATTTTTATGTAAAGACTGTCTCCATCTTACAATGGTTCATTTTATAATTTTTGAACTGTGTAGTTGTCTGAAAGAAATATGCATTCAATAGAATCCATATTTGATTTTGAAATTGTGCTATTTTTTGTGGGCTAGTATTATTTGGTACAGTGCTCTCTGCTGTTCCTGAAAGCAGTGACAGATCACAGCTCCTAGGAAAGCAAAACAATGATCTACCATGGGCTATTTTATTTGTCTTCTTAATATTGGTCCTTCTGCCATTATGGAATGTTTCTATCCAGTAAGACTTTTTGACTAGAAGTCTTCTTTAGTGTTAAAACAGTGGTACCAGATTTTTTTTTGTACGTGTTTTTGTATGCTGTCTTTCTTCATCCCTTTTTGTTTTATTTTTATTTCATCTCTGTCTATCTATGTGTCCTGGAATCTTTATACATTTTGATTTTTTAAAATCTAGCCTGAGGGTCTGTGTCCTCTAATAGAGTTATTTGATTTGTTTATACTTAATATAACAAATGAACTCATTAAGTTTAAGTCCTACATCTTTCTATTTGTTTTAATTTTTTTTCCCTGTTCTTACTTCCTTTGTTTTTCTCTTGTGTTCTTCTGGTGTATTGAAGTGGTTTTTTTTTTCCTTTTCTCTTTCTCTCCCTTATACTTTCTATTGGTTCTTAACTCTGTCTCTTCATATATTTTGATTAAATGTGCAGCAAAATATTACCTTTACTTTGACACATGAATTAATATTAAGAATACCTATTATTAATTAATATTACAAAGTTTCATTCTCAATATAAAAGCCTAAATCTAAAATAAGGTAAGTCTCTTTATGCCCTCAGTTAGCCTGTGCTATGATATCTATATGTTTTGGTTTATCATGTGGATTCCACATTTCTTCTAACCAAAGAAAAACTACAATCTACTTCCTTCTGGAGTTTGTAGATAAAGGTGGTAGGAAATCATTTCCTTGACAAAGAGGGGGAATTTTTTTATAGGATCTCAGCCTAACCTTAGTTGTCCTGTGTATACCAGACTGACCTCACACTCAGAGATCCATCTGCCTCTGCCCCCCACCTTGCTGAAATTAAAAGGGTGAGTCTCCACACACAGAAGAAACTTGTTTTTAAAATCTTATTTCAGAACAAACTATTAGAGAGATCATAGCCAATGTGTAGGCCAAGAACATTGAGACTTACAGACATTAACAAAAGAAAATCTCTCCTGCATGATGCTCAGGTGCCTCTGCTTTCCTGTAGACTTCACAGGTGTCCTCTCTCTTACAGGACCACCACTGCAGCAGCCCTGCAGAAATTCTTACGTCCCTTTGTGTAGATAAAGAACTTCCAAGGGTGCATAGCTAGCTTCTTGTCCAGCAAAGACTCAGCTCTGTGAGCTCAGCCTCAATGTACATTCACAGATAGGTGGACGAACACAGTTCCCACTCTCCACCATTAGCCTAAGTCCCCTTCCACAGGAAGCTGGCATCTCAACAGCGTGCTGCAGACAGGAAATGTGTGTGGCAGTTTAAGGACACTGACCTTGAAGTCCTAGCAGCTGGTTTAAACCTGTCTTTGCCATTCATTGGCTGTGCAACTTTGGGGATATACATAATCCTCCTAGTCTTTGTCTCCTTGTCTATAAACTGGTAAAGACTTGCTTAGAGGGTCACTGCATGTCACATAGGGTTTATGGTTCTCTGTGTTGCTAACTGATTACCACAAACTTCCCATAGTAAAGCACCACAGGTTTTTACTCTGCAGTTTTGGTGGGCTAGCAGGCCTGCATACCACACATGGGTTTAAATAGCTGCAATTAAGATTTAGGCTAATACTCTTCTAAGTTTACTTAGGCTGTTGGCAGAGTTCTGTTCCCTAGAGTAGTTGGACTCGGGTCCCTGTGTCCTTTTTAGATTTCACCTGGAGATCACTCTCAGTAACTAGACGCTGACTTCATTCCCTGCCCTGTAGCCCCCTCATTTTTAAGCCTGCCATAGTATATCAAATCCTCCAGGTATTTCCAGTCTACAACTTGTATCCCCAACCTCCAAACCCAAATTTAAAGATTAC